CTCAAGATAAAAATGCGTGATTTGCAATTGAAGATTATTTTGTTGTTGTCGATCGGAATTTCGAACTTGGCTATGTATTGAAAGACGCATTCGAAAAATGAAATAACAAACATCAATCATTCTCGTAATATATAGATAGATACTTGGATAATAATCATTGATTAAACGGTCTGTCTCTCTTTTGATTCCTTTAAATATCCGGTTGAAAACAGAAGCCCACACTCGTTTCTGATGAAATGTCAAAGAAAAAAACTGCGATATAAAGAGAAAAATGAAACTGCTGGTCGAGTGGGTGGTGACGCGTGGAAGGATAATTTTCCAAAGAATTGTTCACGGTTCGCGAGCTAACCGCGCGAATATAATGACCCTTCCGTTCACGAGGCCGTGTCATCGACATTTGCGGAATCGCTTATTGTCGCAAATGACTCTGATTGTGAGTTAGCTAGAAAAAATTCTACTTTGACTTGGCACCGTGCAAAATGACTCTGCGAGCCCATAAAATCGACTAACCACAATCGCGGTGCCGCCATTATCTATTATCGGTGCGTTATAAATCGCCTTTTGCTTCGAACAGATCAGATCGGTAGATCTCCGCACGAGTTCTCCATTTGGTTAATAGCTAATGTAAGTTATACAAGACGGAATGAGAAAAAGAGACAGAGAGAGAGAGAGAGGGAGTGAAAAACTCAAGTGTATTTAATGAGATAAAGAATAGCATAGAGAAAAAAAACTAATACGTGCTTCATTGAACACGTATTTTATTTCTACAAATTTATTTGTAAAAATAAAGAATATTATATAGACAAAAAACACAAGCATATGTGCATAATTTTGGCGATACGTTATTTTAGCAAGTAGCATCATCATGTACCAGTGACTCTTAAATCAAAGACGAGAGCAAATGAACGAACGAACGAACGAACGAACGAACGAACGAACGAACGGTCGTACGCTTACCGACGATAGCCGAAGGCATCAAACATGCATATCTACGCCTTCCACCTTTTTCTTTTTCTTTTTCTTTTTCTTCTTCTTCTTCTTCTTCTTCTTCTTCTTCTTCTTCTTCTTCTTCTTCCTTCTCGCTATAGTTTCAGCACAAGAACAAATGGGCGCTCGTATCGATTCCCAAGATTACGGACCGTTCCCCGATTATGCCCGCTCTGGAACCTCGCAATTTCAATGGCTATTGCCTGCCAACGGGAATATTAATGCGAAATGGGTTAGCCTGCGCGTGCACCATCTTGCTTTCCTCTTTTTCCCTTTCTCTCATATTCCGTTTCCTTCTCATACCACTCCTCGAATCCTTTTCCTTTTCTTTTTCTTTCTCTTTCTCTTTCTCTTTCTCTTTCTCTTTCTCTTTCTCTTTCTCTTTCTCTTTCTCTTTGTTGCACGAAGGACATCCGGTCTCCTCTACTCCCACCCTCGCATCTTTATCTTTCTTTTTTCTCTTTTCTTATAAAGTATAGTACGTATGCACGATGTAAGTAAAAGAAAAAATTTTGTTTAATTCAGAATATATTCTTTATTGGAGATTTAACTCTTTGTTCGGTGTATTATCTTGAATAAAATATTTCAAATGATTTTGATCTTAAACACATTGCCGTTTGAATCATAAATATGTTCAATATATTTTATGCGAGTCTTCGAATTCTTTATGCCTCAGGCTGAAATAGAATTTTTATTATTATATATAAGCATTTAATAATAAATTATTAAGCAGTTTGATTCAGTATAATTGCAGGACAATCTTTTAATATACACCTATAATACTTCGTACATCAAATTTAGTATAAACAAATTTGATTTTAAATTTCAATATGTGTGCACAATATTTAAGTATATATAATATGTTACATTTATAAAAATGAAACTTTTCTTATTATTTAAAATTAATTTCTATATAATTATTAATAAAAACTATAAATAAAAGCAGCACTTTACTTTTTTGTGCAATTACAAATTTGTTCTTACCAATAAGCTTTGAAAATTTATTCTAACTAATTATCAGTGAGCATAGTGACTCTAATGAGAAAACAGGCTGTGCTGACTATCGTCTGCAGTCAACGTGTTAAATCACACAAATGAAGAAAAATAAAGTCTTAGGAATGATGCGTTCCACATAACTACGTCTACGTCTAGGTCTACGTATACGTATACGTATAACGCATACGTGCACGCGCACGCGCACGCGCAAATATACTACGTAATTGAACATATCCATTGTATAAAAATTACGGATGAAAATATGAGTTATAGTTAGATACGTACTAGTCCAGATTCAAACGAATCTAACGTAATAAGGTTCTTCAAAGTAGGACAATCGTTCATCTTTCTACCTTTGAATCATATTTTATCAACCCTAAACCGCATCTCATTAAAAATACCGTTTCTATCGAACATATTTAGTTGCTAAAGTATGCTTCGTTTGTAGAGATTTCCATTTCTTTCAATTTCTTTCAATTTCTTTCAATTTTCTCCTACGGAAAGTAACTTTTGCAAACTTTTCTTTTTCTCCTTTTATTTTTTAGTCATCGTCATAAAACTGTAGGATTCGACTTATTTCTTCCCCCTTTTTTTTACGATGGTAGTCCCTTCGTACAAAGATGTCAAAGAAACGTGCCAAGTTTTCACAAACGATGGTCCTTTCAAGCAGTCAAACATAAAGGAACCAAAGAAAAAGGAGTAGGAAAAGGGTCACGACCTAACAGAGCGAGAGTACAACGATCGACGCATTTGGCTGATGGTATTTTAATAAGCGTTACGTTTGGACCCTCTGAGATGCCATAGCTCTGTACGTCTACTGCTCGTCCATAATTAACAACCGCAGGTAGCTACCTGTATCGATGCTCGTACCGGCAAGTGAGCGTTCTCCTCGTACGGCAGAATTCTTCGTTCTTAAAGGTAGTCATGATTCATTCATGAGAAAGCAATTGAGAGAGAGAGAGAGAGAGAGAGAGAGAAAGAGAGAGAAACCTTCGATCGACATAGAACGAACAAGAAAAAAAGAAGAACCCTCAGCGGTTAACTTTTGTAGTCCTCGATACTATATACAGTGAGTTAAAGTGAAGATCTTTCAAATACACCATCGTCGTACCTTCGAATATTCACGTCAAGGCCGTGAAACTCGAAAACTACTATGCTAAACTTGTTTCCGAGCATGATTTCTACTACCAACGATAAACGAGCTTGTTTTATATCTTCCCAAAGGAGAAATAAACATGATGATGATGATCATGATGATGATGATGATGAAAAAATATAGCAAATACAAAACCGCAAGAATAATAAGCGTTGAAAGCGTGAAATAGAAACGAGCTATACATTTCAAACTTCTTCTTCTTCTTCCTCTTCTTCTTCTTCTTCTTCTTTCGAATTGAGAAGAATGAAATTGGTCATTTATCGTCCCGATTTGTCTTTTTTTCATTTACAATGTGTGTGTGAATGGTTGCTTTAAATAAGATTTATTAAAATGTCGATAAAATAAATAACAAAGTATTCTTGGGATAAAATTCAAAGCCAAATCAGAATAAACAATATCGAAGAAAATCTTCAATAATTCAGTCAACTTTCTTTCCAATGGGAAAATATACGTACAGATAAAATCGCATACTCTTTTAGTTTGTGGGAGAAAAATATCTAGAGAATGTCAAGCGTGTCGCTAATGGCGGCTTAACGCGATCGTATTGCTGCACGCGTAGTAATTCTCGTCTTTCTTTTCTGTCCACGAATACGTTTACGTTCTTTGGTTACGTTATAAAATATTACCTACAACTTTGAGGCTTTGCTACGGTAATGTTTAGTTTTTTTTTCCCCGATTTTATATTCCGTTTAAATCTTATCGAAATGAATGTATGAATATTTAATCAGAAAAATAAGATAGATTTTCAAACGTCCAATGTATTATCATTCAAATGAAATTCATTCTCTGTGTTGGCTGGACCAACAGTTTGTAAACACTTATTCGGGTAATTATTTTTCCGCAATACTTTTCACGCCTATAAAAAGAAAAAGAAAAAGAAAAAAAGATTGAAGAAAATAAAGATTCAATTCAAATTCAAGGTAAATTTTGAAGCTGCGAATATTTATTATTCTCCTGTATCTCCTTGATGAAGATATTTCATTAAAATGACGTTAATTTAGGAATATAATTGTAATCGATCGATTCCAATTCATAATTGCTATCATTTTACAGTACAATAATGGAATAATAATGAAACACAAGAAAAGAAACACATTCATATCCTGTTCTTATTGTTAGACCCCTAAGTTGGCTCACGAGAAAATGCGCGAACGCCGGAGATCCGGTAAGGATCGTTATCTTTAACTTGCTCGAGCTAAAGGAGACGACGACCACGAAGACGACCACGAAGACGAACTTGTAGACGAACTTGTAGACGAACTTGTAGAAAAACAAGAGGAACACTCATTAAAATTCAAACCAAATAGTTGGTTTATAAACTAAACACCAATGTGTCCGTTAAATTCACATCTACCTAAACATTTTCCATTAGCCATTTTCAAAGATTTGCACGTTTCATTGAAAAATATTTCATTTGTCGCGAAATTAAATCAAGCAAAAAAAAAAAAACGAAGCCAACAAGTTTCGGCATGTTCAAGGGAGAAAAAGTCTCTTGATTATAAAATAGCAAGTTTTCAAGAAAAAAATCATTACTACGATACCGTAATCGTGTAAATATTCATGACCATGTGCGAATGAATTAAAGAAACGTACAAAGATATGAGAATTGCATTCTACCTTTATTGTTACATTCTCACGGTAAACAAATGTTAAAGAAACGTTAAGAATAGTTAGTAGTTGTCGAGGAAAGTGTAGAAAAAATAAATATAGAAAGAATATAGAAAGAATATAGAAAAAATATAGAAAAAATATAGAAAAAATATAGAAAATTGAAAATATTTGATCCAATTGAATAGGAAAATATTCTTTCGTCGTTTCGTTTTTGCGTTGCCAGGTGGCGGCAAGGAAAAAGAAATAATACCTGTGAGCAAGCAGGTTCCCACCTGTTGATTCTCTTTCTCTCTCTCTCTCTCTCTCTCTCTCTTGCTGAAGAAGTTCTCTCGATGGAAATAGCTCTTCTCTTCTTGGCTTTATCCAAGCCACTCTTCTGTCGTATATCTTTCAAGCACGGTATTTGTTGCACACGAAAATTCGAAAAGAATGAACACTGAATTCGTGACAAAGATGAGGTAGGGGGTTGTTTTCTTATACCAATATAAGAAAATTATTCTTAATAGCTTAGTATATAATATTAATTTCAATTGTTTACAAATAAAGGAACAAAGCACATCCACTATACACAACCCACGTCACAGGATGAATAATATATGTAATTATAAAATAAAGTAAAAAAAACAACAACAAAAATTCAGTATAAATAAAAAATGATCACTAAACGAGTCAATCCTTGAACGGCGTCTTTCAATCGTCCTTGATTAAACAAAACGAATAAAGGATTTTCACAAAATTTTCGAAGATATTCCTTCGAAGATTTGATTCGATCGCGACAAATGAAAAGGAACGATTAAGAAAAAAAACAACAAGTCGGCTCCCATAAGATCGTCCCATATCAAGAAGAGCACTAACAGCAGCAACGCAACTACCGCTATACTGTCGGCAACATAGTTGAGAAAGCACGAGAACGAACCGACGATCCACTATGAACGAGCGTAGATGCACGACTATTCCCGAACATGGCCGAAAGTATGGATCGTACAGGTAAGAAGTAAGCCGAGTAAAGCCGACAATCATCGAGCCCGACCGAATACCAACGACTACTCACGAACGAAGAAATGGAATGCGCGCGGCTTCGAATCGGGATCGAAGTTGTTGCCGCCGTGAGGAGGCACACCAGGTTTTACCAGGCTTTACCATGCACTCTGTACAAAACCGCACGCATGGTATACTTTATACCGGCGCACTGCTTCGAACCTCGATCCAAGGCAAACGACCGCTCTACCCGCTTCGTTTCTTCCACTTCTGTAGACCTCTTACCCCGTCCACTATTACTTCTTCTTTTTCTTTACTTTTCTGCCATTGGCTTTTCCTTTGCCTTTGCCTTTGCCTTTGCCTTTGCCTTTGCCTTTGCCTTTACCTTTGCCTTTGCCTTTGCTTTTGCTTCTATCTCGCTGCTTCTCTAATATCTTTCGTACATTTCCAAAAGTATGGATTGGACAATTTTTGTTCATTAATGAAATGATTAAGAATCATTTTCTTATCATCACAAATGCAATCTTTTCTGAATTTGTGTAGTTTCAGGATAGAAAAACTAAAATCCAGTTAACGCACGGAATGTGAGATTATAGATGATGAATGGAAGCAGAATCGAGTTAACGAAGAAACATGATTCTGGATCCACCTTCAAAGAAATATTAAAGTTACGAAAGAGTAAGATGATACTTTTTTTCACGGAATTGGTTTGTATCGCTAATCTCATCGGTATATCGGCAAAGTGATAAAGCGAGGCTGTAAGCGATTTACATGAACGAGTAGAAGCTAACGAATACGTTGCATTCTTCCTGTTTCAAGATTGGAATGTAGACGACGCCTTTCGCGATATTAAAATTAGTTCAACGAGGCGATTTATCTTTCCAAGGTGCAATAAATAGCTTAGCGATTCGATCGTGAAACGATGACATTCGAGAGATAAATTCTTTTCTATTTTATTTTCGTCAACGTGCATTCCTTCACATTTAATTATGATTACGCGTTATTTTGTATTTTTTTTTTCTTTTATAATAATCGCAGAACCAATGTAACACAATTTCTTCTTTTTTATTCCAATTAACCTACTTTATCGTTTTGTAAAAATGTTTACGTAGGTGTATTATCGATTGATGATTTATATTACCGATGATAGAACGTATAATTATCAAAGTTATTTTCCTTTCACTGTAAAGCACTGATAATGAGTAAAATAGGGAAGAAAGTCAGGAATGTGAACAGCTCAATTATTACACATACTTCTATCAAATTTAAGTTATTTTTTTAACTAAACATGTATTTACTCTTATTACCAATCCGGTATGGTCTAGTGGCTAGGATACCTGGCTTTCACCCAGGAGGCTCGGGTTCGATTCCCGGTACCGGAATATTTTTTTGGACCTGATTAGCATTTTGCTTTTGCCATTTTGATGGGTGACAGCTTCGAACACCCTGTCATAGAAAAATTCCTCAAATCCGTAAAAAAAGAAAGTAATAAAGCACATATTAACATTACGATTTATAGCAAGCGATAGAAAATACCGTAACATATTTTTCTCACAGTTGATACGACATGGACAACTTTCACCTGCACCAAATTCTAACATATTAAACACTTGACAATAAATTCTGGAGAAACTATGAATACTTTTAGCCAGGAATCTCTTCGTAGCTAGCCGTGAAAATACACGGCGTTCTTGAAGGAGTACGAGTTGCATATAGTTAGAAGAAGAGAGGAGAAGGGTTAAGAGGGGTGGGGTGGAGAGTGAGGTAAAGTTGTCGTTCGAGAAGAAGCAACGACGATACGATACACCCTCGAGGAAATTCTCGTGCTTCTCGAGGTACTCGAGGCGCCCACGATCTTTCTCTTGCTCTTGTTCGTTGGCCAAACGGACGTTCATTTTCTCTTTCTCTCTCTCTCTCTCTCTCTCTCTCTCTCTCTCTTTCTCTCTCTCTCCTTCTGGATGGAGGATCGAAAGAAAGGAGAGATGTTGGTTCGTAAGTTATACGCGTATGTATCCACGAATACGAGTTAGGATGGTTTACTGTGTAGTGTGTGTATATGCGTTTGCGGGCGTTGTGCACCGAGCATCGTCTTGCCGACCATCTGCCGTCTCTGGCCAAGGACGTCTAGTACGTCGATGCTGCTTCTGACCCGAGGTCGATTCGATTATTGCCACGACTAAAATGTTCTTCGATCTCCGATAACGCTCGTGATATCACCGAACGGCTTCGTTGTTTTCTTCTTCTTTCTCCTTCTTCTCTAGCTCGACTTGTAATGTTAGATAGGAATGACTAAATTGATACTAAAATATGAATATGATTATTCGTTATTTTGGCTATAAGAATCTGGAATTTAATTTAATTCAAGTCAAGCCTACATTAGTCATCCATCTACTATTGTGTATATGAGTTTAAATAAATTTCACGTTGAAGATGGGTCGAAAAGGAAGAGGAAGAGGAAGAGGAATAGGAAGAGGAAAAGGAAAAGAAAGGAGAAAGGGCGAGCATAAGATAAGCGAAGAAAGAGAAAGCAGCGGTATGTAGCTACGGACGAGGCACTGATTGGAAGAGACACGCAACAATCGCCGCAAATGACCGCGTAATAGAAACGCGTTATGTAGTCCGCGGTAAGAGAGCCGGTAGGATACCGGTCGACCTTGAGAATGGACATGATTCCTTAACCTGCGTTTTCCCTTTTACGGAAGGGTTCCGCGTGTCGGGTAATTGCCGAGTTATATCGGTCGACTTGCAAAATTCGAACGCACTGCGCCAAGTCGGCACCGTCTCCTGTCTCCTCGTTTCGTGAGCAATACAGCTGTCGCTCGCACACGCTTCAATTCTTTATTAAGTGTGTACGCCTAACTGTTTATACTTTTTTTCTTTTCTTTCAAGTCTACAGTTAGAGATTAAGAAAGCGATTTATTATCAATAATAATAATAATAACAAAATAAAATATTGTAATCAAAAATAATAATCAAAACAAAAATCGTCTCAAGTTGCTGATTGTTGGAAAACGATACTTCCGTCCGTTTCTCCCTTCTTCTTATCGCCTTTATGGAAAAACGACCGTTTGTTTAATCTGTTAATCGCTTATGTATGCGCGAGTGTGTGTGTGTGTGTGTGTATTCGTGCGTTGTTGCCGACAAAGAAAAAATATATTTTTCTCATCACTGATTCGTCCGAACGAAAAAGAAAACCTAAAATATAAAGGATTCAAGAAGACGAGACTTTAAAATACTTTTTTACCCACTCTAATTGCAAGTTAAATAAATTAGATGAGTTGTTTGAAATAAGATCGTTGACAAGAATTTATTAAAGTATTATCGAAAAAAAAGTGAGATGCCGTGAGAACAACTTTAATCGTAAGATCCATCCGGATTAGATAGCGTATATTTTTACTATGGTAAACAGATGAAAGTCTTCTAACAAGTGTGGGCGCATGTTGAAACGATCAGGGTGTATGCTAAGTGAATGCAAATCTCTATCGATCTGCATAATTTGCCACAAGATTTCTCTCAATTTTCTACGATTTTGTCTTGGCTGGCCACTTGGCTTACGCCGATTTCGATCGATCTGTTTGCTTTTTAGGTTACATTGCAAAGAATTACTTACAATCTCGACGTAAACGAAAGGTGTAACAGACGGTTGCCATTTGACTTGACGTATTAGAAGAACATTTTGAAGCTTAATGTTACGTATTCGAATTTCAATGTGTACGGGTGTATCCAGTTTATTATCTAAACGTTTAGACGGATTTATATAGGGTCTATAGAAACAAATAAGATTACATGCAACTTCAAACAATTTATGAAGAATTGGAAAGTTTACATGAAATTGTAATTAACTCAATTGGAATGAATTCAATGATTATAAATAACAGACATTTAGGCGTATCTTATTATCCATTTGTGAATAAAATAATGCTGATATGTGTTTATAATAATAAACGAATAGAAAAATAACAGATAGATTATAAATATTCGTCGAAAGGAGGACAGAAGTTAGCAGCTTATTCGTATGTGATTTATCATCTCGCGTGTCATGCCCTCTGTACATAATTTCACCGCAGGGAATTGCAGGGTAGCTTAATTGACACGTTATCTCTTTTCGTAGTATATACACCTTACGAATATACATTCGTCTTAGCCTTACTTTTGCCCTCCTCCTTCGTCCACGCGTCGGCCTTAAATCAATTCCGAGTACGGACAAATTACCAAAAAGGATTAATGGCTTCAACGCCGGCCCTAATTGGTCCCCCAAATCATCCAAAGAAAAGAGAAGATGGAAAGAAGGAAGCTTGAAAGATCCCTTTTCGATAAATGCCGCGCCCTTTTCGATCGAACCACGATGCGACACGACGATGACAACGACAATGACAAGAACGATGACAAGGAGAACCGTTGTCACGACGCGCCTTCTGTAGACAATAAGTCTTATAATGTTACATATTTTCATTTTCTTTCATTTGTAAGCTATAAGCCTTATATCTGATCTGATCTGATTTCCTGTCCTGTCCTGTCCTGTCCTGTCCTGTCCTGTCCTGTCCTGTCCTATTATATTATTTCCTTTCCTTTCCTTTTACATTTGTACATATTTACATATATATATATATATATATATATATATATTTTTATATTTATTTAATTTCTTTATACACTAATACTTTAATGCAGTAATCCAGTTAACTAGGAGCTCAAAATAAGTCACGCGATGGGCTCTGTAAATCCTTCGCGGCTGGTCTTTCAAATTACCATGTAGATTTATTCTTTCCATGGTAAAACCCATCATTAATACTTATTCTAACCGAGACTGTTTGCGTCAAAAGATGTTTCAACGAACCCACCTGATATTCTCTACTATTTGTTTTACCTAATACGATCATATCGTGTGTGTGTGTGTGTGTGTACGCGCGCTCGGATCGACGTAGTCCGCTTAAAAGGTCCGTAGGCGTTTCA